GGGGCTTGGCTCAGGGCGGGGGGGGGGGTTGGTTTCGGCGGCCAGGTGGCGACAACGGCTCCGGGAGATCTCCGCCGCGCGCTGCGCATGGCGCAGCTGCTGAGCGCGACCCGGCATCCATTAGACTCTAGGATCCGGAGTAGGCCCCTGATTCCCCTTTTCGAAGGGCTTTGGGTGCCCCTGATTCTGCTTTTTTGGGTGGGGGGGGGGGGTTAGGGTTTAGGATTCAGGGTAGCTAGGACCCAGAGTAGGCCCTTATTCCCTTTTTTGAAAGGTTTTGGTTCCCTTTAGAAGCCCTAAAATAGCCAAAAAGGGTACCCTCTTGATTCCTAGGTTCTTCTTGTGTCTAGGTCTCAATTACTTGAAGGTTCTGGTGGGTAGCCATAGGTGGTTGAAAGTAAATACTCGAAACCTCAGGGGTAGCATGAGGTCGGGCGAAAAAGTTCATAACCAGCAAAAACTGCAGTGGCCCAACATGCAATTCCCGCTATGACTACCCATATCTACCCATTGAACCTCCAAATAAGGGTCTAGGGAATAAACGTTCCCTGGAATAAACCTTGTAAGTTGCGATGAGAGTGTCGAGTTTTTGTTTGTCGGGAGCTGGAGGCAAAGGTAGCCAGATATGGACATGCATGGCACCTGCATGGCCTCACTCAGCCGGTGTCGCCAAGCTTAGGTCCAAAGCACGACCCAGACTGCGTCGACGGCAGATGATGCCTGCTTTCCTGAGGCAAGTGGGGAGGGTGTTGGAGTAAACAAAGATACGTAGGACATCTACTGTACCTCTTCGTCCCTGAAGCCTGTAAACAGCAAGCACAAACTTCGGAACCCCAACATACACATAGATCATTTTGACAGGGCAGAGGTGTCCTCAAAGCATTCGTTCGCCCACACTGGTCTGCAAGCACGCTCCCGCGCAAAGAGGAGCTTTTTGGCAGCCATTTAAGATTCATGTGGCGAGAGCATGAGCGCACGTGCTGCAAGAATCTGCTCCGATGGGACCATTTCAACTTGTCGGAGGAAGTACACCTTGCAAAGTAAAACGCTCGAATTTCGAGTTGCTCCAGGCGTTGGTCCCCAACCCTGCGCCCTAGTTGCAGGAAAACCTGCGAACCCCAAATCCAACCTAAAGCCCCCAAAGTCCAAACTCCAACATGCTCCAGTTCTTTTGCCCTACAGCACGGTATACTAGTTCTACCTACCGAGCCCTGATACAAAAACAGAAAGAACACACTGCGGATCGGTTAGAAAGAGTTCCACATGCATCCCTAAGCCCTAAACCCTATAGCCTATAGGCTCGATAAGCCCTGTAAACACTATAAACCCTATAACCCCTAAACCCCTGTAAGCCCTATACACCCTAGAATCCCTGAACTCCACGAGCCCTATAACCCCTGACAGCCCTATACACCCTATAAACCCCACAAGCCCTCGAAACCCTATAAGCCCTATGAACCTGAACCCTATACTACTACAAAGCTCTATAAGCCCTAGAAAACTCCACATCCACTGTGTGAGGCAGCCCTGGCGCCCATTGCCGCAGCTGGGCAGCTGCTTGGCTCGTCGGCAGAGGCGCCTGAACATTAGGGTAGGGTTTAGCAGGGTCTCCTTGTAAACTTGTTTCCCCCCCCCCCCCCCCATGGCCTCTTTACTGCCCCCTGAACCCTATACCCTAAACCCTACACCTCTTCAAGCGGTTGTTTTGTCCCACAAGAAGCCCAAAGTGCTGTGGCTAGGCCCTAAACTGGGTTGTGCTTTGGGCCATTCTTTAGTTTCCCTTCTTTCCTTCTAAGGGAACATATGAAAAAATTGATTTTCAAAGGGTTTAAAGCACAACCCAGTAAATCTTAAACCCTTAAACCCTAAGGCGGGTGGCAACAGGGTGGCAGCAAAGCAAAAACGGTGTCCCAGTCTTGCACAGGCGCTATCTCTGCCCAAGTCCTTAGACCTCATCGCCCTGGATGAAAGCGTCGCCCCGTGCCCCGGCGAAAAGAAGGAGGGAGGACCATACCAAACATTAACGACTAGCTGTTTTATCATCAGTGGTACTTTACGTTGTTTGAACAGGTTCTTTTTGGGATGTTCCCCCTTATGCAGTCTTTTATAGTAGGGATTCTAGTACCCCATCATACGCCCTATCCCTATTAGGGACTGTTGGTATAAGGGGGGAACATCCCAAGGTTGTTTGATCGTCCTACCTAATTACTCTGGTATTATCAGGGCTCGGGGCTTCTGGGTGAACGTTTAGGTGTGTAGGTTAGGGACACTTGGAGGTTCATCGGTACTCACAACCCCAATTGCAAGTACAACTACAACCTACTTAAGGGGCCTATAAGTGCAGTTCTGATTGGGGTAAAAAGTGCCCTGAACCTCCAAAAGCAGAGGGCTGGAGGGTTGGAGGGGGGACTGCCACTGGAGACCTTCTTGACGCTTAGTTTGAAAACAGGGGTAGATCTGTAGGTCGATGGGGTCCGGAGGTTCCCGACATTCTGGGCCCTTTTTTCGGGTTTAGGGTTTAGGGTTAGGGTTAACCCTGGATATACAAGGCTCCGTATTATAGTCGATTTCCGCATTGTTAGAGAACCTCCCATATCTAAACGCCTTCCCCCCAAGCCATACGCAGGTTTGGGAGGTAGAGCTAGGCAAAGGTCAACTCTCAAACCCCTGGGGCTTTTTCGAGTATTGCTGGCTACACGCTGCCTTTACTTGCTGATTCACCTAAGAATTCAAAGAACTGGCCTTCTCCCCTTGTGTCACCCTCTTCGGGATCAGGATCCCTAGGAAACATTTCGCTAAGTCCTAAGTAGTACCAATCAATGCTCTTGATAACACCATAGCCATACCAATTGCCCGCAAATCGGGGTTACCTCAAATATACATATACCCCCAAGACACTCCAATCCTTGAAAAAAACCCTACAACCCTAAAACTATATCAGTGTAGTGCGGGTGGCAATAAAAGCATATCAACTATATGAACCCCAAGACCCTATGAACCCTATGAGCTCTACGAACCTTGAGCCCTAAACACCCTATAAATTAGTCATCCCTAACACACCATGAAAGCTGTGAACCCTGAACCCAGTGAGCTTTTAAAGGCTGCTGCGGTGGGGAGCCCTAACCCCACAACCCTAAAGCCCTACAACCCTAAACCCCAAAACCCTACAACCCAAAACCCTAAAAGCCCCAGAACCCTGAAACCCTAAAACCCCTAAAAGCCTCAAAAACCCCGAAACCTTCTGAACCCCCAAAAGCCTCTCTGAACCCTTTTAAAGGCTGCTCCGGTGGGGAGCTTTGTCCGCCCTTGGCTTCTTCTTCCCTCGGCCCGGTGCGCGACCAGCGCTGCCGCCACCCTCAGGCTGAATCTGGAGCGGGTTTTTTGGTGATTTACGGTTTGGGGTTTGGGGTTTAGGGTTTAGGGTTTCGGGCTAGGGTGCAGGGTTTGGAGTTAAGCAGTGTGCTCACCCGGCATTCGTCACGAGGCCTGGATGTGAAAAGGGCTTAGGGTTCATGGTTTTAGGTTTAGGGCTTAGGGTTTAGGGAGTGTTTCGGGGCTTCTTGAGTTCAGTGTGCTTAAGGCCTATCCGGCGGTGCCCTGCTAAGGGAGGTTACTTGGTCCCTTCAGATGGTCCCTTCTGTAAAGTGTGGCACCACACAAAGTACCGTCAAGACCCTGCAACTTCAATAGATTGAAAAGTTGGAAAGGAGACTCCGCAAAACTTTCCTCGAAATTCCCCCAAACTCCCCAAAACTCCTCGAAACTTTCCCCGGACCTGAAGCCTTAGTAATAATGTTGCCCTAAACCCTAAACCCCCAAACCCTAAACCCCCAAACCCTAAACCCTAAACCTTAAACCCTACACCCTAAACCCTACCCCCGAGCCTTCAAAAAGCGGGCCCGCAGCTCCAGGATCCGAGATCCCCAAGGAAGCCCAGGACCCTGCAAACTGAAGATCTGGGGCCTGGACAAGGCTTAGGTACCTGGATGGAGCTGGGGTTTAGGGTTTAGGGTTTAGGGTTTAGGGTGTAGGGTTTCGGGTTTAGGGTTTATTTAGGGTTTAGGGTTTAGGGTTTAGGGTTTTTCATTTTATAGGGTGCTATGTTAATTATTGTACATGCTTTTGATGCGAAATGGCATTCTATTATGGCATACACATATTCAGGGATACAAGGGTTTAGGCTTTCCAGGCGTCAGAACGGAGAGTAGAAGACTTGATGGAAGGGGGGGCGGGGTCCATGGTATGCTACTTGTATGTGTATTTGAGCGCCTGCCAGAATTATGGTTCTTGAAGCCAGTACTACGGTGGACACGAGCTGAGGCGAACATCAGTCAACCATGAAAAGCGATTTGGGCCTTGGGCCCCACCTAAAGCGATAACGTTAGCTTGCACATTCTAAACCTGTTTTGCTTCATGGGGTCCCGTAGTCGCATAGTATGTAAAGCGGTATGGGCCCCACGCAAAGAGATAACATGGTATCCCGCGACCTCGCACCGTGACAAGTGATTTTTGTCCGTCGCTCATATATATATATATATGCATGTACATGTATGTGGGTGTTCATGTGTGCGTGTGTGTGTGTGTCCGCATGTTCAATGTTTGTTTTTTTGGGTTCAGGTTCGGGGGTGTAGGGTCAGCGGGGTTCCTTTCACGACAGGATGTTTTATTTCATGTTTTTTTTTTTTTTTGGGGGGGGGTGGACTTTCTGGAAGCACCTAAATCACAACGGGGCCCAACGCCTGAACTGTAGAGAGCTGCCCAGCTTCCTTGGCGGTTTGCAGGGCCAGCGCAAATGTTTGTTCCTCTCGGCTCTGTGCAGGGTTTCGATTGCAGAGGGAGGATTGCAACGCAGTGGTGTCAACAAGGGCACTTCAGACTTTAGAGTACTTCAGAGTAAAGTTGTGCCCGCCCGAGTGGAGACTGGTTGTCGCTTCGTGGTTGCCGCCCTTTCTGTTGCCGCCATGTGGGGGCGCGTTTCCGAGACCCTCTTCCGCCGAGACATGCTGGGCCCGACCTTTGGCCACTTGGCCAGAAAATTATAGGGCTCTCGAGGGAGGGTTTAGGGTCTAGGGTTTAGGGTTTAGGGCCTAGGGTTTAGGGTTTAGGGTTTAGGGTTCGGGTTTAGGGTTCGTAAGGGAGGCGGGTTCAAGGGGGGTATGCAACCCAAAGTTCCCAACTACTCCCCACTACTCCCTCAGGCTCCCTAAGCTTCCCTACGGTTCCCCAGGTACCTACCCCCCATGAACCGCCCTAAACCCTAAACCCCAAACCCCAAACCCTGAACCCTAAACCCTAAACCCTCCCTTAAGAACCCTATATGGCAATTCAACGCTGCCTTCAGGGCTTTTAGGGGGTTGACTTGGCCTGGGGACGTGCTAAACGACCGAATCAGGGACTGAAAGGAGGGACCCTTATTAGGGGCCTCGGAGCTATTCCGGGCTACTGAGGTATATAAGGAGTATAGAAGGCATACATACATACATACATACATACATACATACATACATACATACATACATACATACATACATAGATAGAGAGAGATACGTATACCTTAACAGGTATATCGGGTGAGCGGCTTGAAGTAAGTTACCCTCACGAGTACCTCTTGGGATGTTCCCCTTATACTCACAGTCCTGCCAGAATCCCTATTTAGGACTGTTAGTATCAGTGGGAACATCCCAAAGTACCTCAAATAAGAAGGCACCCTTCTTATGGTAACTTTTTGGTAAGTTCCTGAACAGCAGCTCAGCAGCTGAAGGCCACACGGCAGCGAGCATTACTGGGCTTCTCTTGATCGAGAAGCTCGTCTTGGAATGGGTGCCCCGCGGCTGCACGCGGCTGCACGAATATTCCTTAAACCATATAAGGAACCCTGTTCTGCTTTAAGGAATATTCCTTAATTAAGGAGTATTGGAGTCCCTGACCGTCAGGTCGCAACGCCCTCAGCCACTGACACTCCAGCAAAAGGGACTCCTCAACGGACCCTCAAGGGATATTGTTAGGGTAAACCCTAAACGCCAAACCCTAAACCCTAAGCCCTAAGCCCTAAGCCCTAAGCCCCAGACCCAAGCCTGGATGCAAGAAAGGTTATAACTATTGAGGCTCACCAAACCCCCCATTGAGGTGCTTGTATATGACCTTTTGCTCTGATTGCTTGGAGGCTCATGGGCACTTATAACCCTCATTATAAGCCTACTTTGAACCTACTAAGAGGACTTAGCGGGCTTACAAGTACAGTTACGATTGGAACCCTAAGCCCTAAGCCCTAAACCCTAAACCCTAAATGGGTCCTGAAAGAAGCAGCGTTAAGGCTTTCAGGCTTTGTCGGGCTGCGGGCTCCTGGGACCAGGAGTTCTTGCGGGGTTCACGTGTGTAGCTTGGCTTTCTTCTGGCTGGCTCTTAGGGCTCAAACCTTTTGGGCTTTTTTGTAGAAACTGCAACAAGGAGCCTAAAAGTTAAACTTTTCGGAGCGGTTCGGAAGTTAGCCCAGATAGGGCATTGGTTCCAGGGTGTAGGGTACTTTAGTGTGTTGAGGGTATCTGGGGCGGGGTATTTGGGTTTTTGGGGGGTATTTGGGGTATTTGGGGTATTTGGGGTATTTGGGGTATTTAGGGTATTTAGGGCATTTAGGGCATTTAGGGTTTAGGGTATTTAGGGCATTTAGGGTATTAGGGTATTTAGGGTATTTAGGGTATTTAGGGTATTTAGGGTTGTTCTAGGCTGCAAGAGGATGATCTTTGGCTGTATTCTGGTCCCCTGACGGCTCAAGCGAGTTGCCATTTGGTGACCACGAAGACGAAGTCTCTGTCACCAGAGCTCCCTTTGTTTGAAGCTGCCGGTTTTTCTCTCCCAACGCCATGGAAGAGGCGAGCCGTCTTCTCTCCACCATCGACCTGGACGAGTACACCATCAAGGACCTTAAGGGATGTCCCCTGAACCCAACTTGGAGGTTCATGGTAGCCAAGTGTAGCTGCACTTGTAAACATTTTAGGGGGCTCATAAGTGGTTTATAAGTACAGTTGGGTACCATGAATCTCCAAGTAAACCCTAAACCCTAAACCCCAAGCCCTAAACCCTAACCCTCTTGAGAATCGCCTGGGCACCAAAGTCCTTTACCTGAAGCCCAACGGCGCCTGTCCCCAAAGACACTGAGTTGAAAAGCGACGGCAGACTAAACCGAAGGGTTTAGGGTGTAGGGTTTATGGTTTAGGGTCTAGGGTTTAGGGTTTACCTATAAGCCCGAAGCCCTAAACCCTCCAAACAATAAACCCTACACCCTCTAAACCCAATACGGCACAAAAACTTAACCCTAAACCCTAAATGGAGAAAACAAAACTAAACCCTAAATGTCAGAAAAAATCATCCCTGACCCCTAAACCCTACACCCTAAACGCCAAAGACAAGCCTTAACCCTAAACCTTACACCCTAAACCCGTAACCCTGAACCCGTCATCCTAAACCCCAAACCCTAAACCCCAAACCCTAAACCCTAAACCAGAAAAAGGAAGTCCAGAATGGCTGGGAGACCACGGAGAAGCGCTTGGGAGGGCCAAAGGCAGCCGGCGAGGAGCTCTCGACCGCCGCCCCACCCCCCCCCCCTCTCCTTCCCAATGGGTTTAGGGTTTAGGGTTTGGGGTTAGGGTTTAGGGTTTAGGGCTTAGGGTTTAGGGTTTAGGGTTAGGGTTTGGGGTTTCGGGTTTCGGGTTTCGGGTTGCGGGTTTAGGCTCTTATTGTGGCGAGGCACCCCTTGAGCAAACCCCTTGGAACAAAGGAAGGGCGCCTTTTCGTCCACGGGTTCAGGGTTTAGGGTTTAGGGTTTAGGGTTTAGGGTTAGGGTTTAGGAAGATATGAAAACAAAAGCTCTATGTTGGTGTGACTTGTGTGGCAGAGGGGGGGGGGGGGGAGGGCTCAGAATTTGACCCTCAATGAAACTTTACACCCTCAACCCTGAAGCTTCAACCCCAACCTGACTACAGACTACCACAAAACTTCCGAAACCCTAAACACTAAACTGTGGCCTGGGTGTCAGCTAGGTGGGTGGCGAAAAAACCCCTAAACCCTGAGCCCTAAACCCTAAACCCTAAACCCTAAACCCTGTAGAAGCCCTCTCAGGAGGTATTTGGGAAGCTGAAGGTCGAAGTGCCACGCACACAGGGCATGCTCAAGCGATCAAGCACTGTGTGGCACCTCGCTTGCGCAGGGTTTAGGGTTTAGGGCTTAGGGCTTAGGGCTTAGGGCTTAGGGTTAAGTTTAGGGTTTAGGGTTTAGGGTTTACACTTCAGGGCTCGAGGGCCCGTAGGCAATCCGCGAGTCCAGATTTCAAAAAGAAGTTACAGACCACTGCATGTTTTTTGTTCAGCCTTCTTATTCTTCTGATATTTTCTCGAGAGGGGTTGCTCCGGCATCCTAAACCCTAAACCCTAAACCCTAAGTGCCGGCTTCGAAGGTCTTGCTTGGAGGTTCGTGGGTCGTTAGGAAGTTGGGTTGCAAGTAGGGGAACTACGGCTATCACGGGTTATAGCTTCCGTTTGGAAGGTCTACTGATCCTACTTCCATCTACCCATGGACCTTCAAGCAGGGCGCAGGGGCGCTATGTGGGAGGACCTTGGTCTTGTTTCCAAACCCTAAGCCCGAAACCCTGAAGTTTAAAGGGTAGATCATGAAGTCGGCAGCCGGAGAACACAACAGGGTTCGCAAACGCATTTGTTGTGGCTTGAGGGCCCAGAGAACTCCTGTAGGAAACGACAAAACTGCAAACGTGCGGCTCTTGGCGTCTCCTAAGCAAGCAATATACCTTAAATCATATGAAAGTTTCCCTGTGTAATTTAAGGTATCTTCCTGAATTAAAGGGGGTACGGGGTTTGTGGGCTCTCCGGAGATTTAGACCCCGCCGAATGCCAGGCACCTCCTAACGGAGTTGCTGCAAGCTCTCGGTCAGCCAAAGCTCGTGCAGAAGCGCCTGGAGACTTGGCTTTCTTCCGGCTGGCTCTTAGGATTTTATCACCCTTTTGGGCTTTTTTTTGTAGAAACTACAATAAGGAGCCTAGAAGTCAAACTTTCAGGAGGTGGTAACCCTAAACCCTAAACCCTAAACCCTAAACCCTAAACCCTAAACCCTAAACCCCAGGGTTCAGAAGTCAGCCAAGGAGTACATCGCCCTACGCCATATGAATGCGGATATCACCACCGCCGACGTCGAGGCGTGGGTTGGTTTAGGCTTTGAGTTTAGGGCTTAGGGTCTATAGGGTTTAGGATTTAGGGTTTAGGGTTTAGGGTTTAGGCTTTGAGTTTAGGGCTTGGGGTTTGTAGGGTTTAGGGTTTAGGGCCAAACCCTTTACTGCGCGCGCTTCTTGCGCTTGTCACCATGTCCTGGACCAGCCGGTAGTGTCCAAACAGTCGTTCTAACCCATCCCAAAGGCCGGACCTTGGGAAAGTTTATGCTGAGGGTTTAGGGTTCAGGGTTTAGGGTTTAGGGTTTAGGGTTTCGGGTTTCCTATAGGCAGGCCCTTCGGGTGTTTTTATTTTGTTTCCCATTCTTGGGTCTAAGAGGCCGATATTCAGGAATGTTTTCCAGATGGCCGGCCTGAAACGGGCCAGTCTCGAATCCGTAAACGTTTCAAAGCCTTTACCCCCCAAGCTTATGGCCAGAGCACAGTCCCTTTATTGGGGTTGAGAAAATCTCCTTGTGGACCAAATAGACCCTAAAATTGGGGGTCCTGTACCCTACACCACTATAATGCCTGTTAGGGGATCTGAACCCTGAACCCTGAACCCTAAACCCTTTTTTGCAGGAGTGAACCAAAAACTTTTTTGGGTTCATGTGGTCCACAAGGCTGAGCCCAAAGCCCTAGACCACAGCCCGGACCCTGATGTGTCGGGCACCTACAAAAGGGCCCCGAATTTTGGAAAGCTGCTCCCAAACCCGAAACCCTAAACCTTTAACCCTAGCCCTAAACCCTAAACCCTAGACCCTAGACCCTAAACCCTAAACCCGAAACCCAGGTGTTCCGCAACATCTTGTTTGAAGTGTGTGCGTCGAAGCTTGGTGGCCTCATGACTCCCGAGTTCCAGCTCCTTGGGTGCTGAGTACGTGGCCTTTGGGTAGTGTAGGGTAGAGTTTAGGGTTTAGGGTGTAGGGTGTAGGGTTTAGGGTTTAGGGTTTAGGGTTTAGGGTTTAGGGTTTAGCGTTTAGGGTTTAGGGTTTAGGGTTTAGGGTTTAGCACGTACTCCGCCCCTGACCAATCTTTTCTATTTCAGGCCTGCTCTCACTGCTCTCATCACTTCACCCTCTACCCCCTCCCCCTTTTCCTCTCTGGACCTTCCCTCCCCGACCCCCCCCACCCCCCCACCCCCCTATTTTTGGGTTTAGGGTTTAGGGTCTAGGGTTTAGGGTTTAGGGACCCTAAACCTTAAAACCCTAACACCCTAAAACCCAAAATCCCTAACCCTAAGCCCTACCAACAAGTTTGGGGGTTTGGGGCGGCTCAGCAGTGAGGTTTGGCCTGGGTCAAATCGTCATCGCCGTGGGCACCTCTTTGGCCAAGACCCACGAGCACTACGCTCAGCGAATCAAGCTGCTGACGACGTGCTGGAAGGAGGTGGGGTTGGTTTTAGGGTTTAAGGTTTTAGGCGTTTAGGGTTTTAGGGTTTTAGCGTTTTAGGGTTTTAGCGTTTTAGAGTTTTAGGGTTTAGGGTTTAGGTTTTAGGTTCTTTAGGTTTGAGGGTTCTTCCCTAAACGCTAGTTTCAAACCCCCCCCCCCCTCCCCCACCCCTGCAGGTCAATCAAACGGAGGACGAGCCCGAAGAGCACCACGAAGAG